AGTAGAGCACCATCTTGGACCCGGGGGTTCATTGGAGTACCGTGTCGGGGCCCAGGGGACACTAGAGTCGGTGCAGGAGAAGTTGTAGACGGCTGGCAGGTGCAGTTGAAGTTGTAGAAGTCCGGCAGGAGCAGTTGAAGTTGTAGACGGCTGGCAGGAGCAGTTGAAGTTGTAGACGAGCCGTTGAAGTGCAGGAAGGGGGGGGGGGTTCTAATCAAATCTAAGGTCTAAGTGCCCTACTGTCTACACCTATTGAATAAGAACCCGTGCCTTTGGATATAACTCGGAGGTATGAAAGCCTGAACCTATGGAGAGAATATTTTTTGAGAAGGGGGGTCGGTCAGTTCAGTGCGGGATTTTCAGTGCGGGTTATTTTCAGTGTGGGGCATTTTGGGAGTGACGTTTTGTCCGGGGCATGTTGGGGAGTGACGTTTTGTCCGGGGCATTTTGGGGAGTGACGTTTTGTCCTGGGCATTTTAGGGAGTGACGTTTTGTCCGGGGCGAATTGGGGAGTGATGTTTTGTCCGGGGCATTTTGTCCGGGGCATTTTGGGGAGTGACATTTTGTCCGGGGACGAATTGGGGAGTGACGTTTTGTCCGGGGCATGTTGGGGAGTGACATTTGGGTCAGACTTGGGATAGGTGGAAGACAGGGGTCTTATAAAATGGGTATAGACAGTAGAGCACCATCTTGGACCCGGGGGTTCATTGGAGTACCGTGTCGGGGCCCAGGGGACACTAGAGTCGGTGCAGGAGAAGTTGTAGACGGCTGGCAGGTGCAGTTGAAGTTGTAGAAGTCCGGCAGGAGCAGTTGAAGTTGTAGACGGCTGGCAGGAGCAGTTGAAGTTGTAGACGAGCCGTTGAAGTGCAGGAAGGGGGGGGGGGGGTTCTAATCAAATCTAAGGTCTAAGTGCCCTACTGTCTACACCTATTGAATAAGAACCCGTGCCTTTGGATATAACTCGGAGGTATGAAAGCCTGAACCTATGGAGAGTTTTTGCAATTCGAGTTTGGCGGCATTAGATGTATATACCTTGTGGAATCTATCTGGGTGTTTCATTATAAGGTCGTCTAGTTGGATCGGTTTTGGTGGAGTTAAATTAATTAATGCATCAGCTGGTAATACGTCAAAGACACCGCGACGCATTGCTTAAAAATTTAACAGAATTTAAAATCTTCCAAACAAATACCATCAAGGCTAGCTTTATTTCGTACAATAAGGCGATTCTCAATAAAAAGATATATTCCAAAACATTTTCATTATTTACAGAAATATCAGCACCACCAAGCCTCAATTCAAGCGTACCACCACCCTGAAAATAAAAATATAAAAAATTAATAAATAGTATGATAGAATCGTTGGCCATCGGTTAACCGAAATCGAAAACACGTGTTTTGGCGAATTAGCCAAAACCGAAAACTGGGGTTAATCATAACAAAATTGTAAAGCTTTGCAAAATTTCGGTCATAACCAAAAACCGAAGGTACAAACCAGGGATCCTGCCGATAAAAAATCGAAATTACCGATTTCGGGAAATCGGGATTCCCGAGAAAAATTAATTTCCCGATTTCGGGAATCGGTAATTCCCATCAAAAATAAATTTTCCGATTTCGGGAATCGGGAATTCCCGCCCCAAAAAACGTCAGGAATTCCCGATTTCGGGAAATCGGGAATCAGGTCGGCAGGATCCCTGGTACAAACAGAAAGACAATAATCGATCGCCAACAACTTTATTATAAAAATTATAAAATTTTATTGTTCTTAAACCTCTTCAGTAGGCAAAGCAACAGCAAATGTCATTTCAAGTTGATTGAAAAATTCTTGAGATTGGTAACTTTCATCATTCTCATTGTAAATTGAACGTAAAGAATCAAAGAGAGATGAATCAAAAAAGGCCAAATCATACCAAGTAATATTACATCCCAAAATATATTTAAGAACATAACGAGAAAGACTTAAAAGAAAAAAATTAAATTAAAAAATATTAAATAATACGGCAAAGGGAAAATTTCCATATGTTGAAGACATATTCCCATCAATCTTAAAACAAACAATCTTTAAAAAATTTCAAAAAAATTATTCAAACCTTTCCACATTGCGAAAAGCATTTAGACGTTGTGAACTACAATTTAAACCAGTAATTGGTGTATAAAATCCTCCAGAGGTTTTTGCTTCTGCTTTGTGGAAGAGAGGTGTTAGTGTCTGAATCAGTTGGAAGAACGAATGAACTAGTGCTGAGTGCAGGAATTGAAAGAGCCGGCATCAATGCAGCTTCATTACCAACAGCTGGTGTACTAGTGGCACTGGTAGTGCTACTTCGAAGAGTTCGACCTAAAAATTTCAAGGAAACAAATTATCATGAAAGAGCATTTTTTAATTATATACCGCTAGCAGCAACAGAATCGTCAGCTTTAGGCATATTTGGCGTTGCAGGACCAACAGAAGCTGACTTCCCTGGAGTTTTTGTCTCTGATTTATTCGTTCCATCTTCATTAACATTATCAAGTGCAGACAAATGCTTGACAGTTGTTAGGGCCTTTATGATAAGATTAAAAAATTAAAAAAAATCAAAATCAACCTCTGCAACAGCGGCATAAAAATAACGCGCAACTCCAGTACCTTCACCAGGTTCATCACGGAAAGTTACTCCTACCTTAAGAATTAATGTTAAAAAATAAAACCGATAAATTAACTTTATGTGAAGCAAGGGGTAGGGTCCTTCCAGGGCCAGTTGCATTTGAGTAGCGTAGCTGCGCTTCAGTTCTTTAAAAAAAAAGAGAAATGTTTTAAAAAAGCAAAAGAAAACTAACTTATCCATAATCGAAAAGAACCAACGAGGATTGGTGGCAAGATCCTTCTTGTGCTTACGATTGAATTCAGCACGAAATGGTTGACCTTTAAAAGACATTTGCAGTTAAAACCCCCTCAAAAAACTCCAAACCATTCGATTGTCAAAATCTTCGCCTCCAAGGTGAGTGTCTCCAGCAGTCGACTTGACCTCAAAAATTCCATCTTCAATCTTCAAAATAGACACGTCGAACGTTCCACCGCCCAAGTCATAAATCAAGACGTTGCGCTCGCCTTGGCCCTTCTTATCCAAACCATAAGCAATAGCCGCAGCAGTAGGCTCGTTGATGATACGCAAAACATTAAGTTCAGAAATCGTTCCAGCATCCTTTGTGGCTTGGCGTTGACTGTCGTTAAAGTAGGCCGGCATGGTGATGACAGCATCCTTAACGGTTTGGCGCAAAAATGCTTCAGCCGTTTCAATTATTTTAGTCAAAGACCATTGCCAAAACTTCCTTAAAAACAAAAGTTAAGCTCAAACAAAGTAAAATCCAAATCAAACCTCATGGAAGAACGCCTTCATTTCACCTTTAACCTCCACTTGGTTTTTTGGACGAGCACCTTCTCCTTGGATAACATTGAACGGCCAATGCTTCATGTCCGATTGAACAGCCGGATCGTCAAACTTGCGTCCAATCAAGCGTTTCGCGTCTGAAAATGATTTTTGACTTGTTTAAACGAACGCAAAAGAAAATACCAAAAACAGTGTAAAAAGACTGATTAAGGTTAATAAAGGAATAAGGGAACTAATCAACTAAAGTAGCGGTCTTGAATCTTATGTCACAGAGAAACCCAAAGAAGACAAACAGGCCTCCCGCGGACCCTGAAGTACCCGGTCTTGAATCTCCTTCACAGAGTCCAGAGAAGACAAATGAGTCATCACGGACCCTGAAGTACCCTGTCTTGAATCTTATCCCACAAAGGGAACCAGAGAAGACAAATGGGCCAATTACGGACCTTGAAGTACCCAGTCTTGAACCTTATCTAATAGAGAAACAAGAGAAGGCAAACGAGCCAATTACGGACCCTGAAGTACCCGGCCTTGAATCTTATCTCAAGGAAACCAGAGAAGACAAACGGGCCGTCCCCGGAACCTGAAGTAACACTGTCTTGAATCTTGTCAAAAGGCTACCCAGAGACAAACAGGGCAATCCCGGAAGCAATTATGGACCTTAGACAATACCAAACTTAAATCACAAACCTCATTAACCTCGACAACTCTCTTAACAATCTTTTGAGAATTAGCAGAGCCAAACAAAATGTTGAGTTGACCTCCCTCTAGATAAGGTTCCAGCGATTTTGAAATTTTTGTTCCATCTTTAGGCGAAACCAAGGCAAAGAGTTGTCTATTCCCATTAGTAAATCGACCAGATTTCAGTAAATAAAGGGCAAAATTGGTAGCAAATTGATTAGTTGAATTTAAAGTTGGAGTAATTAGAAGAGTAGTCATTAGAATAATTAAAGGTCGTTAATATTAAAATCTGAAAAAGTATTTAATTAAAAATGCGTAACATTAAAAATCAATCAAAATCTGTTGAAAAAGAAGGAAATACGCGTAAAATTAAAGTTAAATGATCTCGATCGGAGTTAAAAAACTGGGTCAAGGTAAACGAAGAAAAAGTTGATGAAGATGGATGTGTGTGAGACTCAAATGTACCTAATTTAAATGGGATGAATTGACATTAAACAGAATGCCAAAAATAAAATCGATAAAAACACGGCAGAGAGATCGATAATGAAAATCGATAATCACCCCTCTACCCTCTCTAAATTTTCCCCGTAAAATCCCCCACTTTTCCCATTGAACTTAAAAACCTCTAAAAACGGATTCCATCCATTGGAGCACTTGCTGCTTTGTCCACCATACCAAAAGTTGAGCTAAAACTTTCAAAAATTTCTTGAAAGAAAATTGAAAAAAAAACAAAGACAAACAGGACAAGGACAAAAAAACAAAAAATGAAGGAAGTTTGGGGTCATTCGCTCGCGCATTTTTAGCAAGCAATTTTTTATTTAAAAAATTTGAAGATTTACCGGGCCAAGGATTGATGAGGAAGACCATGTAGACGAGAATGAGCATGTAGACGAGCCACCACAAGTGCATGGAGTAGAACGGACCTGGCTGAAAATCACCCCCTCCCATTATAAATTTTTTTTTATTTTTTAATAAAAAAAACCACACCCCAACCATATTCCACCAACCACCAAGAGCAGGCAACAAGAGCATGAAGAGAGCCACCAACCACCAGGAGCATGAAGAGCCACACCAAGAGCCACCAAACCACCACCACCACAAGCATAACTTTTTTAAAAAAATAAAAAAAAATTTTTTAATAAAAAAAACAGGCCCCCAGACCACCACCACCATGAAGACCATCAGCATATTCTCCAAAGGCCACCACATGAAGAACATACATAAAAATAAAAAAAATTTCATTTTTAAATTTAAAAAATTCAAATAAACTAGGAAAAAACCCACCGTTTGGTTGATCCCATCCAGCCAAGGCCACCACATACCACCATGTAGAGCACGGTCGAAGCAGCGCCTAACAAATTAAAAAATTTCAAACTCAAATTTAAAAAAAAAGATCAAATTTAACCGGCCAGCCATCCAGAGGAAGCATGTCCAGAAGTCGTGACTGGCCTTCAATTAAAAAAATTTAGATTTTTGAAAATTAAAAAAAATTATTTTTTAGCAATTTTAAGCGCGCGCAGCGCTGGGGTCAACGAATAAACGAATAAAAAATAAAAAAAACAGATGAAATAATTAAAAAAATGAAAAAAACAACATAAAAGCGTAATCTCCGGAGATTAACAAAAATCTGTGAAAATCCAGATTTCAGAAAAAAAGTGACGCCAAATAAATTTGAACTGAAAATTAACGCATTTCATTATGTTAATTTTCAAATTGGAAAATGTCAAAGTGTAAACTAGTTGATATTTGTCGATAACTCGAAAAAATGAAGAAAATTCGAAATTTCAAAGCCCTTGGAATTTTGGAAAATTTTTAGTTTGGGAAACATTAAATAAATTTATCCTGAAGATATACCAATCAGGAATGCTTGGGAAACTTGGAAAAATCCCCAAAAGTTCCCACTCAGACTTGGAAAGTTCCCACTCTTGGAAAGTTCCCACTCAACTTTAGATTTCTATCTGAAAATCTAAATTGCGGAGATCATGGATAATCCACATGATCCATTATTTTTAAGAGACTTTGTCATCCGTCCATCTGCTTTTTTTGGATTTTTTTCTTGTTAATCCTTTTCTTCTCTAATTTATTTAAATATTTTTTTAATTAATTCTTTTTATATTTATTTATTTTACGTGTTAATTTGTTGTATGAAACAAAACAATTTATCTTAATTTACCTAACTTTTATTTTGTACATTATTTTTTCTAGATGATTTCAACATTTTTCTGGTATTATTTCTATTTTATTTTGTCCCTCTTCACGTCTGGAATGTTGCTGGTAATTTTGGGCAAGGATTGGGCCGTATGTTCAAATCTTTATTTAAAAGTCGTTACATGGATACAGGACAGAGTTTTAGAGGTTAATTTTATTTTAAATTCATTTCACGGTTAAAGTCAGGTTTAATTAAAATGTAAAAATACTGGTACTTTTCGACTATGTTGACCTCCTCCGTAGTTTGAGGCACACAGTTATTCCCTTTTCATGCTTTTAATTTTTCTTAAGAAATATAAAGAAATAGAAATGAAATTAGAAATTTAGCTTTATGGAATTAATCAATTGAAATCAACAAAAAATAGTGATACTGAAGAATCTGACAATCTAGACGACGTTTTTGATAAAAATTTGTTTGACACTGCTGACAGTACGAGCAATGATAGTGATTTGGAAATAATTCAACCTTTGGAATTGGCCAAAAACATTAATAATAAAGAAAAACAACAAACATTTTTGCCTCTAAAATTGTCTTTAAATCTTTGTGGAAATGGAATGCAGTCAATTGCTAGTGTTTGTTTTTTTAGATCGTCTCATAAAATGTCGCTTTAGCAAAAATGGTTATAGATTTTTTTATAATTGTCCAAAAGCTTTGAAATTTTGTGGTTTTTTTTTTAAATCTTTTTTCGATACAAATTTTTAAAAGGATCATAACTCCCTGAATACTTAACCAAAAATTAGCAAATTTTGAAAACTATTGGAAAACACTCTGGAAAATATAAAGTTAAAGTTTCAAAGCTTTTGAAGATTTACAAAAAATTCATTAACTATTTTTGTAAAGCTACATTTTTTATGAAACGACCTAGTACTAAAAATATTTTCTTAATTTTTTAAGGAAGATATTGGTATCAATTTTACCCTTTCTCCGGACTATCGTCATTATGAATTGGTTCCTATACAGAAAAGTCTCAAGTTGAGGTTGAAGTTACGTCGTCGTAGACGTTCATCGCTTACTGGCAGGCTTTTACCTCATCCACAAAAGAACATGGGAAGATCAGCTTCTGCAGAGTGAATTTCAACTGAAAAGCGAAAGAAACCTAAACGACAACCTGAATTTAGGCCTCGTTTTTTGCTCTTTGCTTCTTTTGTCTTTCGTTTTGGTGCTCTTTTTCCGGTTATTTTTTATTTTATTTTAATAATTATTTGATAATTTTAGACAAGACTTGCCCTATTAATTTGTTCCTTTATTTTTTTATTTGTTTGTTGTATTGTCAATTTATTCTGGCCTTTTTCACCTCTTACAAGAACTTATCTTGCTGTTATTTATTGTCGAATGTATACTCTTGGTTGTGGTTTTATTATCAGATTTCATGGAACAGACAATCGACCAACTAGGCCAGGTTTTTTATTTTAATTATTTAAAACAAATATGATCATTTCACCTAATCTAGTCCTTGAGATTTACTTGTAAATTGAAAGAATTGAAATATTTATTTAAAAAAATTTCCTCTCAGGTACTCATTCTCACATTCTCAAATTTCAATATTTCAAAGCTTATTTTCTCAGCCCTATAAAATTTTGGTTTTTTTGCTTATGAAATTTTTCATTTTAGGTGTAATTTGCGCCAATCATTTATCACCAAACGACGTCCATGTAATGTTTGCAGATATTCCTTTAAATAGAGATTACTTGTATTTGGTGACCGGACAAAAACATAGCGGTGTCATTGGAGCTTTGGAAAAGCTTATTGATAAAATGGTTAGATTTAAATTTCGTTCATGTAATTAATATTTTATTTTTAGTGTCCTTCACTTTGGCTTGAGCGTTCTGATCCTGAATCGAGACGACAATTTAGTGTTGATGTACTTAAAGCAGCTAGGGTAACTAAGAAAATTCTAATTCTGACCTAAAAAATTATTTTTTTGAACATTAAATAAAATAGGAGTAGACTAGACCCGGGACCGAAATGGGATTTAGTCAAAAATCACGACTATCTAATCTGAGATTTCTGTAGATATTGATCTCGGTTTTCGTACGGCCTTCCCAGTCCGGTCTCTAGATTAGTCCATCTTTAATTTTAATAAAATTATTTTTATACAGAAATCTGGACCAGTAATTCTATTTCCAGAGGGATACTGCACAAATAATTCCCAAGTTCTTCAATTCAGAAAAGCTGTTTTTCAAAAAGATATAATTGTTTATCCAGTTGCAATTAAGTATATTTTTTTGTTTTAATTAAAGTTACTTTTTTTTTTAATTTTTAGACAAGAATCTCGTTATGGTGATTCTTATTGGAAGGAAAATTATTTTTTCATGTATTTATTGAGAGTTTTAACCTCTTGGGCGATTGTCTATAATGTTCATTATCTAGGTTTTATTTTTGATTTTTAAATAAAATAAAAATTTTTAAGCTCCTCAAAAATGTCGCCCACAAGAATCTCCTATAGAATTTGCTGCTCGAATTCAGAGAATTATTGCTTCGCGAGTTGGTGTTAGGGCAGCGCCTATTGATGGAGGAATTTGGTAATTTATAGGGAACAGGGATGTCACGGGTTGAGAAAATAATGTCGAAATTTTCATATAGAAAAAAGTTACGATTTCGCGTTTCGAATAACCTGTTACATCTCTGTTAGATATAAATTTTATATTTTTTCAAAAATTTTTAAAGGTATAAAGAACTTGAAAGGTGGAAAGCAAAGGCAGAATGGCAAAGACGTTGTGCAACAGAATTGGGAAAATGTACAGATCAAGTGTCGCAAAATATTTCAATATGTTTGCATTTTTTAATAATTACTTATTTTTTAAAATTAATATATTGCAGAATTGTTTATATAACATTCAAAAAGGTGATTGAAGAAGGTATTTTACATATACATATTTTAATAAACACTTGAATTCAAAAAAAATTTATCTTATTGAATTTTTTTATTTTTTGCTCATAATTTTCCTGTATAATACCAAATTTATTCGGATTATAGTATATACCCGTAATGTTAAGTTGTCCGAAACCCATTCTTTTTTTAGCCCGAAACCCGACCCGGCTTACTTTTTTCTCTTAATCCTCATAACTGATCCGGCCCGAAACTCGGCCTTTTCAACCCGAAACACTATCAGAAGAAAATTTTGATGACCCGGCCCGGAACCCGATTTCCCTCAACCCGTGAATCCCTTGTATATACAACACTAACATAATATCAGGATTTTATTTCAAAGTTCTGTTAATTTTTTTCAAATTAAATGTCGATAAATTTTGAGAGAATTATTTTTACTTTACTCTTTTTATCGGTGAAAATGGGCCGATAAGTAAGAAATATTTGTTTGTTTTTATCTATTTATTAAATCATTTTTTTCATTCAATAAAGAAACACATAATATAATTTTTTATTTAATTATCTTTGATTTTTTTGAATTGTATACTTTTATATTTATTAATTTTTTTTAAAATAAAATCAATCTTTTAACCAATTAAGCTGATAAATGGTTGGCCAAAATACCTAATTAAACCAGTTTCTTTTATGTCATAGAAATAGATTACAGCTTTGCGCAGCAGCAAAATATTTCTCTATTTAATATTTATCAATTTTTTTCAATTTCAGAAAATATTATTCTTGAACTTTTAAATTTTGGTTAATGCCTTCAGTTTTGAGCAGATTAAGAGGAAATTTGCGTGATGCTGCTCCGGCATTGTTAGGTACTGGCCTTGTTTTCGCAATAATCCATTTGTACAGGAGACATTATCAACTTGGGTAATTTTATCTAGAAAGAAATAATCGATTTTTCGAATCGATTCGAATTTAGAATTATGTCGGAAATTTCTGTTCGAAATTCAAATGGATTCAAATTTCGAAAAAAATTTTTGTCGAATTTATCAAAATTTTAAAATAATTCAAAATTATTTTCCAGTAGATTCACTGCAACCAAAAGTATTTCTACTAGATCTGATCCAAAAAGTGAACGTGCACATGTTGATTTTAATTTTATACGTCGACTCTTTCGTATTGTGCGTGTTCTTATACCAAGCCCTTTTTGTTTTGAGGTTTATTTTTAATTATTTTTTAAAAATTAGAAATTAATATTAGATGCGAACGGTTAATTCTTCCCTGAGGTGGCTTAAAAGCGCATCTCTATTTGACCCGTCACAGTGAGAAATTAACCGGGCATGTCAACCCATCTTTATGTTTAAAAATTAAGAGTTGATTTTTCCTTGTGTTGTTTCAAAGGCGCATTTTTCTCTATTTGATCCGCCACAGGGAAAAGTTAACCGGTCATGTCCAACTACTAAAAACAATTTTAAAAAGGTATTGCTTATGGCCTTAATTGCGCTTTCTCTTTTATTGCGTACATATGCAGATGTTTGGATGATTCAAACCTCTACGGGTATTGAGGCGTCAATTATTGCTCGTAAAAGAGGAAACTTTATTAAATCAACAATGCACTATTTGATGTGTATGCCGTTAGTCTCTGTTGTGAACTCATTCCTTAGGGTTTTTTAATTATTAAATTTTAAATTATTTTTTTAGTTCGCTTTAAGTGAATTGAAGTTGAGATTTAGAGAACGTTTAACTCACAATTTCTACAAGCAATATTTGAATGGATTTACTTTTTATAAAATGGCAAATCTGGATAATAGAGTTTTTTCACATTTTTATAAAGCACATTTTTTTAATTTTAGATTTCAAATGCTGATCAATTACTTACGCAAGATGTTGACCGTTTCTGTGGAGGTGTTGTAGATTTATACTCTAATTTGTCAAAGGTCTATTTTTTAATAAAGTGTCTTTATGGGGACAAAATGAAAATTCTGGGTCTTCCCTGTTTAATAAATTTTGGAAAACAAAATTTCGCATTTAAATCATATCCTCTATTTTCTATTCATTTAAAAAATCCAACTTAAAAGCATTTTTCAGCCATTAGTCGATGTTCTGCTTTACGTGTCCAGGATTGGCGATTCTCTTGGTTGGCAAGCTCCTATTCGTCTCTTTTTCTATTTGATTGCATCAGGACTTGTATTAACTTATTTAAGGAGACCAATTGTAAAAAGTTTATTTTTGAATTAATTTAATTTTTAAATATTAGGGAAGAATGACCGTCATGGAACAACAATTTGAGGGTGATTATCGTTCAATAAATTCCCGATTGATTGTTAATAGTGAAGAAATTGCCTTTTATAGAGTCAATTTTTTAAATTAAAAATTTCAAAAAAATTTTTTTAGGGAAATGAAAGAGAACGTCGATCAATTATGAATTCCTTTCAAAAAATGATTTCACATTTGCGTTCACTTATTCTTTTTCGGTTCTCCATTTCATTTTTGGACAATATTGTTGCTAAATATGTTGCTACAGTTGTATGTTTTTTAAGAAAATTTGTTTTAATTTTTTAAAATTTATAGGTTGGTTGGTATACAATGTCTCGTCCATTTTTTAATCAGAATAATTCAACGTTGAAGCAAAAAAATAAAACTGAATTGATGCAGGTTATAATTTTTTTGGTTTTGTATTTTATTAAATCTTGACGGAGCAGTTTAGTTCAGTCCAGCCTCAGCTCAGTCCCAACCCTATAATGAAGGGATGGTCATTTTTTCATATACTTGGTACCATTGGATAGAGAATTAAACCCTACAGGATTTCAAAAGATCAAACTTTTCAACTAATTGATTAAAAAGTTATAATCTAAAAACTTTTTTAAAAATGTGATTTTTCGGCACTTTGTCGATCAAAACTTTTTTTTCATTTAGTCTAAAATATTTTTTTTGGTAGTGAGTTGTATGTATTTAATTCTCTATTCCAACAGTAAAAAATTTCCGCCCCTTCATAAATTATAGGTTCGGGACTGAACTGACTTTTGACATATATAAGTTATTTTATTTATAGGATTATTACAGTTCTGGCCGTATGATGTTTAAATTAGCAGAAGCTCTTGGTCGCTTAGCTCTTGCTGGTAGAGAAATGACTCGTTTAGCTGGTTTTACTTCTCGCGTTGATATGTTATTAAATGTTTTGAATGATTTAGAAAACGGTTTTTTTTAATTTTTATTTTGAAAAATTAAATAATTTTTTAAGGAAAATATCAACGGACAATGATTTTGGATATAAACAATACACATCAATCTCGTCAAGAAAATTCAGGAGAAATTAATGGAAAAGCTAATGGATTATTACTTTCTGCTTCTTCATCGCTTTCTTCTCCTTCAACAGATGAAGATGATCTAGTTACTTTTCAACCAGGCGCAGGCAAAATTGAAATTAGAGACAACTTAATTCGTTTTAAAAGGGTTCCATTGGTTTGTTTTAATTTCTCTTTATAAACATTTAACTTTATTTAGGTCACTCCAAATGGAGATATTTTAATTAAATGTCTGGATTTTGAAGTCCCATCCGGCACTAATGTACTTGTTTGTGGACCAAATGGTTGTGGAAAGTCATCTTTATTTCGAATATTAGGAGAATTATGGCCTCTTTGGGGAGGAAAACTAATAAAACCTGAAAAAGGAAAACTTTTTTATGTCCCGCAGGTTTTTTAAAATTTAAATAAAAAATGAAAAAATAATTAAAGCGCCCATACATGACCATTGGAACATTGCGTGATCAAGTAATTTATCCAGATAGGCCAGCGGATGCTAGACGGAAATCTTTCACAGATAGTGATTTAGAGGAATTACTTGAGAATGTTCAACTTAAGTGAGGAAAATTACTAAAATTCAGATTACGCGTCCAGTCGCAGTTTTTCGCGTTCGATGAAAAGTTTATCTGTTCAATGAAAAGCCTTATGAAAAAAAGCCTTATAACTCTGGGTGTTTATAGCTTTCTATTACCATGTATTTTATGTTATTTCAGGCAGAACCGGGTAATTATCGTTATTTATTGGACGCATAAACTCTTCATTGGACGCATTACATTGGACGCATAAAGTTGCGATTGAACGCGTAATCGGGACAAGTCAATAGAATTTTCTATTTTTAGATACATTTTGGAACGTGAAGGTGGTTGGGAAAGTCAACAGGATTGGATGGATGTATTGAGTGGAGGTGAAAAACAAAGGATAGCAGTAAGCTATATAACTAAAAATTGCCAAACAATTTTAAATTTTTTAGATGTCTCGTCTCTTTTACCATAGACCACAATTTGCTATTCTGGATGAATGTACAAGTGCTGTTTCGGCTGATGTAGAGGATAATATTTATAGGCGTTGTCATGAATTGGGAATTACTTTATTTACTGTTTCTCATCGGAAGTCACTTTGGAAGTAAGTTTTTGATAATTCTATTGGAAAATTTATTAAGAAGAATATTTGAGTAATGTGGTTAAGTTGGTTGTGTGTCCGACTTTTATGGGTCATATTTTATAAGTTCGAATTTTTATAAGGACAATGATTATAAAGGCATTTGTCTGAGCATAAATGACTGATTGCTCTTTTATAAATCCATTCGTTGTATGAGTCCTTTAACAAATTTTAAATTTTTCTCAAAAATACTTAGTTTTTAAAATAATTTTTAAGACACCATGACTATTCTTTACATATGAATGGTAGAGGATTTTATGAATTCAAAAAAATTAATCATGAAGACCCCAACACGCAATTCGGCTCTTAAATATTAATTAGCTTCATTTTTTGCCTAACATTAGTTTTTAAAATATTTTTATATTTATTTTCAAAATTTTGCATTCTTTTCACACACTTGCCTTTATTATTCTAAACTGGTGTCTTATATTTTTTATAAAATTAAAACAAATTTTTAGTTAAATTAATCCATTTGTGTTTTGAACACTTCGTTAGCTGTACATTTCATTACATAATTTTGTTGAACAGAATGTGTGCCTTGGGGATTCGTAGCCACAACTTTATAAATTCCTTGGTCTTGTTGGCCAGGATTCTTTAAGGAGGGAAAATGTCTTGTTACTAAAAGATCTATAAATTATTCTGTTACCTTTATAACCATTGTACACGCATATTTTCCAACTTGTTTCTTTGTTTTAATTAAATATCTATCTCCAGGTACCAATTCTTGGTCCTTAAATAACCATTTAATTGTTGGTTCTGGATTTGCATTACAAATACATTCAAAAAGAACAGATCTATATTGGGGATGAATAATACTCATTTTTTAAATAAAATTAAAAATTTCACCCATCTGGTTTATTAATAATTGAGGGTGCACGTTCAATAAATGGAGGGCAGACCATGTTTAAAAAATAAATAGAATTTAATTTTTAGAAGAAATCAAAAAATCTCGATAATTTTTTTACTGAAGAAAAACATACTCTCAATGAGAGAACAAAAAGCAGTAGAACTTTAAAAAGCAGCTGCTTGTTCACTTCTTAAATTACATTTTTGTTTAGTAAACAATATTTTTTTATTGAATTTGTGAGTGGGGGATGATCCAAGAACATTTAACTTGCTTTTATTCTCAATCACTTTACCGTATTTTCCAGCAAATCAAACAAAAAAGTTTAATTGTCCTCTTGTCCAATAGTCTTTTACTCAAATGACTTTTGTCTTAATGTCGCACTGTCCAATTGTCATAGCGGCGTTTAACTTTTTGTTTATCTCTTCTTTTATCACACTCACTAGCTAATTTTCATTTAAAATTTTTAGATTTTAATTTCCGTATTTCTAAAAATGACAAGCGGATTTGGTATTAGACCAAACAGCTCCATATCTCAGCTTGAAAATATTTTCGCAAATCCTTTCAAACAACAAAAGGCAGATTCTGAATGCAGCAACGCTATAGAGGTATAATACGTTTGTAAAATTATTAATTTCCAATTTTCAGGAAGAATTTGTTTATACTCCCTCAGATATTGTAAAAATGTTGAATCAATTGTTGAATGAAAAACAGTTAAGGCCGTGGAAAAGTCAATTTGAGGAGAGGATTAAAGCTTCGTCTTTGCCGGTTTATAATTTTTTTAATCTTTCAAAAGGTTAACATCAGTACTAGAGATAGATCGGAGGTATTAAAAAACCTTTGATTCTTGAGTTTGATGGGGGCCAAGACTAGATTCTTCACTTTGAGTCAAGAAAAAATCAAGGTCCAGATCCAGACCGATCTCTATTAATATTAGTTCCTCCATGTTTTTCATGTCATTTAAATATTTAAAATATTATTAAGGCCTTCGCCCTTCCTCCAATGGGACCAGAAGAACAAGCAATGATGACTTTGATGGAAAATTGTGCCGTTAAAGCAGTAATTACGAGCGTTCTTGGTGCCGCTATGGGTTTAGCTTTTGGACTTTTTACAGCTTCAATGGATCCAAGTTTTGCAGTGAGTAAAGATCCGAGTAAACCGGTTAATTTTTAATTTAATATTTAAAAAGTATATTTATAAATTTAGTTAACATTGCGCGAGACGTGGACTGAAATGCGTTCAAGAATGCGTAATTATTCACGCCAATTTGCCTCTATTGGATTAATGTTTTCTGGGACGGAATGTTTATTAGAAACTGTTAGGGCTAAAAGTGATTGGAAAAACGGGACATTTTCTGGTGCTATTGTTGGCGGATTATTAGGTTTTAGAGCTGGATTGAAACCCGCAATTTTGGGAGCTGCTGGTATTTGCTTACTAAATATTTAATATTTTTAAAATTTATTTTTCTAGGGTTCTCTGCTTTCTCAACAGCGATTGAATTTTACATGAGAAGATGATTAGTCGTTTTTTGTCTTTAATTTTTTGATAAAGTTTAGTTTCAAATTTAGGAATTTTTGAGTTATAGTTGACATTGTCCTTTTAAATATTTAAATAATTTTTATTTTATTATTAATTTTTTAACTTTCAGTATCTTCCTTTAAGATTTAAATGCATATTAATAGCGAGGAAGGTAATATTCCAGGAGCCGACCCGTCTGTGGGGAACAACATTCACAACAATAATGGGCTTGTCGCTAGCGGTGATGGACGTTCTTGTAAAATTTGTTATGAAACTGAAGATGACTATAGCGGAACTCCTGTAGAGAAGAATGATGGTAGATGGATGCATCCTTGCAAATGTAAACTTTTTGTTATTAAATTATTTTTTGTGTTGAATTGGTGTGGGATTATGGTTTGTTCCGATCTATTGTTTCTGAACATCCGAACTCGTAATGGCCAAATATAAAAAATGCAAAATCATTACATTTCCCCTATTTACCCCAAGTAATCGTCACTGCTTGAATACATTACCTATTTATCGGACAGACGGAAAGTACATGCTCTGACCGTTATGAGACCATTTAATTATCTGTCCGCCTTAATATGAGCTTTTAGTTATTTATTATGCCTTATTACAATTTCAGGTTTTGGAACTATGAAATGGGTTCATAGAATGTGTATGGAGAAATGGCTAGATCATGCGCCTTATCAACAGAAATATCAATGTACAATGTGCAAGTAATTTTTTTCTAATTTTTTTCAAAAACTTTTAAAAAGATATCGTTATCAAACATGTTGGCGTATCAGGCCTTTAAGTAGATGGCGCTTTCCCGATTTCAATTTGTCTCTCTGGGATGGTTTTGAGATGTCATTAGATTTTTTGTGCACTTATTATACATTTTATCGGGTCAAGAGTCTTGTTCAGGTTTAGTATCTTTAAACTAGGATTTTTATTTTCATGATAATTTTTAGGGAAAAGCAAAGTCATTGTTACGTTCTTGTTTAATCATTGGTGTTTGGAAAATATTTGTGGCGAGTAACCGCCGTCTGGGCTTCTATCGACAGCTTTTTGAAATTGCTATTCGAACTTTTTTGGAATCTACGGTGAAAAACGCAATTTAAATTAAATTTTTTGAACGATGAGGTTTTTATTATTTATTGTTTTTTTCTGGAAATTATTGGCTTTTAATCTCAAAAATCTAAGCGCTCGTCAATTTTGATGGATTTTGATCAATTTTGGTTTTTATCCAAAGGCTAAAATAAATGAAGAACAAAATTCTATTTTTCAATTTTTGAGATTAAATTTAAATTTTTTTTTGATTGCCGTTTCTAAATATCGCAATTTTTAAATAAATATTCTCCTATATTTTGATGTTCTTTTATATTTATTTATTTTTTAAATATATTTAAAAAATATATTTTCAATATATTTCAAAGTTAGAACGCTAATTTTCTAATCTATCTTTTAGATAAGAACCTTTTTTTAATTTTATTGTTATCAAAGATGTGGTCAGGAAATGATCGAGGAGGACTAGGACCAACAACTGGTGAACCAGTGTTTGATTTATACAAAAACAACAGTAAATTAACTCCTGAACAAATGATTTGGTTAAACAGGTTTATTTTTAAAGGATTTGAGATTTTAAAGAGTATTGGCTGTTTGTTACAAAAATTTTTGAGTTGTTGATTCTACCTTTCCGAAATAGAAAATGGAAATCAGTTTTAAGAGTCCACCCCTGAATATTTACTGACTCTGAAGGTCCTAGACTTGAAGGGAATATAGAGGGTTTAAGTGAAATAAATACTCGGCTCTATAAAGTAAGTCCCGATTTTAGAACCTATGTTGTGGTATTCTGTAAAAAAAAGGGCTCTTCTCCGTGGAGAAGAGCCCTTTCAATCACACCAAATCCATCGATATTTCCTTTTGATTTCCCCTTCAAAAGCTGTAGGTCTCTAGCGTCAATAGGCATTGGGAGTGTAAGTCTTCAGTGTTGACCAAGTTTTAAATGTTCCCTTACAACTTTTAAAAATTCTAGCCGTCTTACACCTCGAGAAAGGACTGAAATACAAAGTTTGGCTTCGAGTAGTCTTTACGAGGTTATTTAAATTTTAAATTTATTTAAATATGATTTTCAAACAGGTTAATCTAACAAGAGGAATACCTTGTGCATTTGCAACTATTGCAGGCCTTTTCATGCTCAAAAAAAGAAAAATTGTTAATTGGAGTCCAATAACTAGTGGATTAATTTTTGGAACTGTAAGGAATTAAATATTTGTTTATCAAAAATTTTTTTTGAATTTTTGGTCCCCGTTATGGCTGCTATTATAGCTGATGGAATATTTATGAAAAGTCATCCCTCTTCTCAACGTGTACGTGATAGAATTAATGATCTTTATGTTGAGGTATGAGTTTTTGATTGATAGGAGGAAAGGAATCTCCCTATGTTTAACAATACGGAAAAAGTTAATTATATGTCTCACAAGAGAATCTCACGAACTTTTTGATTTTCCTCTTTAATAGAAGAAAAATTTCTCTAATAAAAAATGAAGAAGACTCACATCTGCCTCTCCAAAAATATTATAAAAAACTTTTGATTCGATTTGGAGGTCAGGGCCTAAAATTGGTAATAGGTTATCGACTCCTTTTCACGATGATGCAATAAAAATTAAGAAATTTTCTCTAACAGTTCGTGAGGTTCCCTTATCAGATGTATGGGATGATATATTAACAAAATTATTTTTTCAAGCACTCCAGAAACGAAGCTACAGGTGGAAGACCAAAAGACCGTGGGCGGTTAACTTATGCTCAAATACGAGAAGCACATCGAAGTGGTCGGCCAATCGAATCGTTACAAGAACATCCTCCTTCTGAAGATAAATTGCTTGGAGAAGAAAGAAACCAAGACTTATTATATGGTGACAAAAAAGAGCAAACTTATGTCAAACCAAATTTGCCTTCTTATCTTGGTCCAGGTTAAATTTACAAATATTTTTTAAAATTATTTTTAAATTTTAATTAAGATGCTCCATCAGACATTAGTTATATGTCTGGTACACCACGAGGGTTAAACGAAGAAAGTGGAGACTATGGGGCAAGTAATGAACGTTGGAAATAATTCTTTTGGTATTTAAAAATAAAATTGTTTTTGGGTACTTCGTTAATACCCCCTTCAATCATTTATTTTCATGAAGCATTTTAGGTAAAAGGAAAGTTAGGCAATAAAAATTAGGAGGGAAAAACTCAACTTTACGGCAAAGGAAATTTGAACATTTCGAGACAAAAAAATGAAAGAATTAATTTGAGACTCGGATTTGGGGTGAGATATTAATGAGGTACCGTTTAGTGTTAGAAAAACACAATTTAATTTTATTTAAAATAATTTGAATAAAATGGTAGGAATCACATTTTGGAGTTTTGTGGTCCAATAAAATTTCTTGGGGATATTTTCTTTGGGATATTTTTAATATCATTTTAAATTTATTTAATCTCTACTTATAAGCACCTCGCTCTTTAAATTGGTAACAATGGTTGAGCAGTTGAAATATTTTCTTGTTCATTGTTAATTGTAGTAATCACACTATTTGAGTTGGGCAATGGGATTTGGTCGTAAATGCTCAAAAGACGCCTTTTGTAAATAAAATAAACTTAGAATTTTCATTTTTTATTACCATCTTTCGTATAGTCTTCTGACTGTTCGACCCTTTCTAGTATTTTCCAAATCTCTAGAAATAATTTTAAGGGATTAAAAAGATATTTTGGACCTTCTATAAGTATAAATATTCCAAAGTATCCAAAAAATAGCCAAAATTGAATAAATAATTAATGCAAGAATAAAATAAGGCAAAAATTGAGACCAAAGTAAATTATCATCCAAAGGATAACCCATTTTCCTTGTGTTCTCACTTTCTACATTAAAAATTAAAAATCTTTCCTTATCAAGAATTGTGTTAAAAATTGTTGAAATTTGACTGCTGAAAACCAATTTAATTATTCTTTGAAATCCTTTACTTTGTTTCAATATTGTTTGTATTTATTTTCTCCATTTTTGAATAGCATTTTATTTAGAAAAATTAAAAAATAAGCTTTAAATTTAAAAGAAAAACATTTTTTGAGAATTAAAAAAATGTTTGAGTGAATATTAGCAAACAAAAAAGACATTCATAAGGAGGAAAATGACTAAATTTTGTGAGGGGCCGAAAAAAGGAGGTTGGGGTTGGTAGAATCATCCTTTTGAAAAAAAATATGAGTGAATAACACAAATATTTTTTAGTTAATTTAAGTTATACAAACAATGGAATTAAAAAATGAAATGCTGCTAAAGCGGATGACAGCCTGCAACGACAAAAAAATCTTCCTGGGTATACGGGGTTGGGGGTCAAATCTGAAGGCTTTGGATCAACCCTGTCTTTTTAGAGGGAATGTCAAAAAGAATATCGAAGGATTTGGAGGGATTAAGGGGCACATTAATCCCTTTAAAAGTTCTATGTCTTCAGGGACAATAGTAGATCTTGGACTCCGGGAATGATTCCAAAAAATTAAAAAAGGAGAAAAAATTAGTAATTTCTCTTTAGAGAATTTATAAATTGGCTCATAATAATAAGACTAAAATAATAGTATATCTAATTTTTCTCCATATATTCCTTGCGCATTACATAAACAACAATTTGTTTGTGTGGTTTTATAATAAGAGAAAAGCTGACTGTTGGTTGATTGATCCTTAAAAAACAAACAAGCGATTACCTCTACATAAATACTTTTTGTTTGTTTCTTTTTTGAGTTGAAAGAAGAGAGCGAAAATATTTTCTTTAAATGAAAAGATTGATGAAAAATTTTATAAAAGTGCATCTTCAAGTTAATCTTTAATTCCATATCTATTTATTTATTATTGTATCATTTAAGTTCAAAAATCAAGAATTCACACAAAGGGAAAATACACATTGTTAAAAGTTCTGGCATTTTTGTTTTTATTGTCAGTTACCTAGACAACCTTTATTTATCTAACAATAACTTTAATTTCGTGCCCGCACAAAATACCGAATTCTCAAAATCGCGAATAGGCTAAAAAAGCTCAAAATCGCGAATCGGTAAAAATATCTCAAAATATGGAATCGGCCAAAAAAGCTCAAAATATGGAATCTTAAAATATCGAATCTCAAAATCGCGAATCGGCCAAAAAAGCTCAAAATACCGAATCGGCTAAAAAGTAGTTAAAAATGTCGAATTTTTTAAAAACGAAAAGGGCCGTTTGAGTGCCGCTGCAGGTCTTTTTCTGATTATTCAGGGGTCTGTAACTCAGTCCAATCAGGTCGGATTTCATTGATTTTGGTGTCATTTGATGCAGCTCGACGTGCTCTTTCAGATGAGCTATCATTCGGAAACTCGAAATTCGGTTCGGGATTCGAAATTCGGTTCGGGTCCGGGATTCGACTTTTTCAAAATCCGAGCTGAGATTCGTAATCAGCACATTTTTTTACCTTAGAAAAATACTTTCTCTTATTTTTAAAATTTTTTTACGAAGAAGTTGGTCACAACTTTGTTCAGACTCAACTGGCCTTTGCCGCATTGTCGATATTTTTCGATATTTTGAGCTTTTTTTTGCCTATTCCATATTTTGAGATTCGATATTTTGAGATTCCATATTTTGAGCTTTTTTAGCCGATTCGCGATTTTGAGATTCCATATTTTAAGAATTCGGTATTTTGTATGGGAGCCTTTAATTTTTAAGAGAAAATCAGCATTGTAATTTTATTAAGTTAAAGAATAATTTCCAACCTTTTTTCTTTAAAAGACTTATAGTAGTACATTAACCGATGTTGAAATAAATTAAAGGAATGAATTTATTTTTCAAATCATCTTTAAAAGACTTATAGCAAAAGTTTAGCCACCGGGCGAGACCTGCGACCTCCTCGTACTTATTGCTAGGGGCTTTCGCTCTACCACTGAGCTACCGCACATTGGGTTGACTTAGTTGACGGACAGGCTCTACCACTGAACTAACTACCGTGGCATCAACTAATGCTTTCTCTTATCCTTTAGATCGTTCAACCCCCACCTAAGCGTTCAACCCCCATCATCCTTTTAACACTTTTTGTAAATTGCATGTAAATCAAGAAAGAATTTT